ATATATATATATATATATATATATATATATATATATATATATATATTTATATATATATATATATTGTTTATATCTATCTGTATATCTAGAGGTTTGGTTCTATATATCTAGCCAGCTAACAAGCTATTTTTCTCAATCTCTTTATATATATATATATATATATATATATATATATATATATAAATAAACAGATAGATAGATAGATAGATAGAGATAGATAGATAGATAGATAGATATGGACAGACGGAGATAGATAGACGGACAGATAGATAGATAGATATGTAGTAACAGACTGTAATAGATAGATATGTAGTAACAGACTGAGATAGATAGATAGATAGATAGATAGATAGATAGATAGATAGATAGATAGGAAAGGACACGGATAGATAGATAACGAAAAGATAGATAGATAGATAGATAGATAGATAGATAGATAGATAGATAGATAGATAGATAGATATGAAGAGACTAAGATAAATACTATGATATATACTTTTAAATAAACCGGGACATACAATTTCTCATGCGATCTAATATTTTTTTCTTTCAGATTATAAATTATATAAAAAAATTTCTTTCATATCTGAGCGCTTTCGGCCATACATTTAGCCATTTTCAAGGTTTTATTTATTTTAACTGTTAAATAAGAAATAGTTTGTTTCATGTATGTATTTGTAATGCTTTCATTTTTTAAATCACGGTCAATATATATAATTCATTATCCGAAAATGCGCGCGCACACACACACACACACACACATATATATATATATATATATATATATACTGCGTATTAAAACGACTGAGAGTGTACTGTGGTTAACGTTTTTATTAGTTTCGTTTGATAATTATATTTCTTTTTTTCTATCCATAGATTATTTAGAAGATTGTGTAGACATTGTCCTAATGTTATGTTTATTTAATCGCTTTCGACTATTCGTTTAGTCCTTATGAAGAATGATTTCATTTTTACTTTTAACTGACACCATGACAGAGTTTCAAATTGTTGTGGGCGAGGATTTACCTCCTAATCCTACCACTTTCCCGAAGACTGTCACAGGTCTATTGCAACTCTATCACTATTTACATGGAAAACAGTATACAAATGCACTAAACTAGTAGCTCTAAGTAGCCAACAAAATGCTCGTCTATATAAGTCTCACAACATCTTCAATGAGACTTTAGATACACTGCACTCATAAATATAGACATCTTCATACATACACTTCCATTTAACTCTTTTTATAGTTTTCCTGTTTGGTTTTCCTAAGGCAATAAAAGGGTTTACTTGTTGTTGCTGTCATCCGTGTAGTATTGTTTATAATTTCATTTCTATCTCTTTCGGCTTTCACATAAATATTCCCACGTAACAGCTCTGCAATAACTGGTGACCCAGGAAATCACCAAGGAGTCACACCCAAAAAAATCAAAAAGGAAAAGAGAAAAAAAAAGAAAAGGAAAAAGGAAAGCAACGACCCTTACTCCTCATCTTTATTTTGACATACTGGCAAGTTTTAACCCTTCTGTCATATTCAGCAAATATTACAACTTTTATTTACATTGTCCGGACTGTTGTCCTCATCTTTATTATTGTCCTGTTCATGACGTTTCTGCTGACGAACGCTCCGGTCTTCTTCAGTTAACTGAAATTTCGAAATGAACTCTTTATTTCGCTCACTCAAGGGCACATGGCAGAATGGATAAAAGAGTTGATTAGATCCAGTGACAGAACCCTAAGAGTGTGAGTTCCATACCCGGTTAAGCCAGTGAAGAACTTGGAGAGGGGAATTAACAGGAGATAACTGACATACATTAAAACACGTGGAACTAGAACAGTCTACCCCCAGTGAGTGAAATAAAGGTTTCAGTTTGACATTCTAGCTACCTGAAAAAAGCTAGAGCGTACAACGGCTGAAACGTTGTAATAAATATGTCGACAAAGATGAGGACAATAGTCCGAATAATGTAAATAGTGTACATAATACCTCATCTCAGAAATATCAACAGTGAATATTTCCCCTATCTCTACAATCTTAACCTCTTCAAGTCCCGAATCAATCGTTACCACCAATCTCATTCATGAACTCATGGTCTTGATTGGGACTTGATATTTTTTTTTTAAAGGTAAATAAAAAAAATCTATAGAAGAATTCAAAAAGCGTCAAATTAGATCTTTTCTAAGAAGGTAAGAAATTCTAGAATTTTCTCGATTGACTTTCCTCGACACTGGGAAATCGTCAAAACACATTTTGCTTTAAATTCTGACCCCTATGATACGATACTGTTCTTTGGTAAGACTCTTATTGTTGTATATTGGCTACTTCCCCTAAAAGTCGGTGTTTGAGTCTAGATAAAAGCAAAGATGCCATAAACTAATTTTTATCGTTAGTGTGGAGGAACGCAAATAACTAAGATGAATAATAGTTATAGGCGAAATAGAACAGTAGAAAAGTCTCATAAGAGGCGACGGACATGATTACGTTCAAGGGAGGCGGGGCTTAAAGAGCGAGTCACGAGAATTGTGACCAATCAAAATTAGTGGGATGGAAAAACCGGTAATGTATAGTTGCGTTAGAAAATGATGTAGAGTAGAGGTTGTAGATATGAGAAAGATTTGAAATAAGTGACAGCCAAGAAAGAACCAATCAGAAGAAATGGGGCGGAGCATAAAATAGTAAAAGGCAGGAATTGATTAGAAATCGAAACACAATATTAATAATAAGAGTGGAAGGTCGTTGGCAAATTCTGCTGACCTTTCGAATAAATAAATAAACGATCACATCAAGAAACTAGATAGATAGATAGATAGATAGATAGATAGATAGATAGATAGATAGATAGATAGATAGATAGATAAAAGAGAGAGGAAAAGAAAGAGCGAAAGAGATAGGAAGGAGGATAGATGCTCAGATAGAGGTAAAAGATAGATAGATAGATAGATAGATAGATAGATAGATAGATACTAACAGACTGACAGATAGATCAGTAAGAGACTATGATAGATAGATAGATAGATAGATAGATAGATAGATACTAACAGACTGACAGATAGATCAGTAAGAGACTATGATAGATAGATAGATAGATAGATAGATAGATAGATAGATAGATAGATAGATACTAACAGACTGACAGATAGATCAGTAAGAGACTATGATAGATAGATAGATAGATAGATAGATAGATAGATAGATAGATAGATAGATAGATAGATATTAGGAACGTTAGATGGATGTATAACGAACGGAATGAGATAGATATATAGATAATGAACAGAATGAGATAGATAGATAGATAGATAGATATCAGCAACCTTAGATAAATGTGAACAGATTTAGATAGATAATGAACAGAATACATCGATAAAGTACAATAATATTAATAATAATAATAATAATAGGTAAAGTGATTGACGTAACTCCTCCAATATTTTTTCAAGTGTGCAATTTAAAGAAAAACTGAAAGAAAAACTCAATATCTAAACATGATTTTAAAATATTCCGACAGAAGTTCTGCCTTCTTCAACTTATGCTTTAAAATTACATACAAATATAAAAAGCAATTTTCAAAACGCAAAAATCGCAGCTCTTTTTACAAAGGGAGTTCGAGATTAACAGGATGTGGGGAATGAAGTCTGAGTCTGTACCAATAGTAATCGGAGCACTGGGCCCGTGGGCAAAGGAATGGACAATTTTACTAACAGTGTCCCAGGTAACATTAACATACAAGTTGCCCATAAGATCGCTCTACAATCCTGTATACTAAGAAAAATATTATCAGTTAAATAACAATTCTCCGATAGGGCCTAAGGACCATAGTTTGAACCCGGCTCTACAAAATACAAAGCAGGAAACATAACACACAAACAATAACAATAATGTGTTTGCTATAATGGTATCAGATTGGTTAATAATAATAATAATAATAATAATAATAATAATAATAATAATAATAATAATAATTGTGATGATTCCAAATTCAGATTCTGTGATAAATATCCAGGAACAATTGATCATCTTGTATCAGGTTGCACAATATTTGCAACTCACTGAATATAAAACCCGGCATGACAGAATGGGCCAATGTCTGCAACTTTTACGGGAAGGAAACTGAAAGAAACTGGTATAAACTTCATCCAGACCCAGTTACAGTGATAAGAACTGAAACAATTTTATGAGACTTTGCAATATACGCAGACAGAACAATTAAATCTAATCGCCAACAGAAACTACAAAAAAATATAAAGTGCTTTCTTATTCACATGGAAGTCCTAGCAGACTGTAATGTATATAAATAGACGGATCTTGATGTGGAAATCTAAAAAATATGACCCTACTAGGAAAATCATATATACGAAGAAAAAGTGTTATCCATTAAATGATAATTCTCCTATGGCGTCTGAGATCCATAGGTTGGACTCGGCACTACAGGATACAAAACAGGAAACATAACACAAAAAATAACAATAATGTGTTTGCTATACTAATATCAGACTTGTTAATAATAATAATAATAATAATAATAATAATAATAATATTGTGATGATTCCAAATTCAGATTCTGTGATAAATATTCAGAAACGATTGATCATCTTGTGTCAGGTTGCACGGTATTGGCACCCACTGAATATAAAACCCGTCATGACAGAGTTGGCCAATATCTGCACTGGAAAATATGCAACTTTTAAGGGACTTTTAAAAAGAAGGAAACTACAAAAAACTGGTGTGAATGTCACCCAGGATCTGTAACAATTTTATGGGACTTTAAAATATACACAGACAGAACAATCAACACTAATTGCCCAAACATCGTGATCAAGGACATCAGAATGTGTTTTTCTTCTTGATCATGATGTATCTTTAAAGATCTTAAAAAAAAACTTCGAAAATACAAAGATCTTGAAATGGAAATCTCAAAAATGTGGCACATGAGGACATCAATAATTCCAGTTGTAGTTGGAGCACTCGGATTGATTGGAAAAGGTTCCGATAGACTCATTGAAGGGGCTCGAAAACAAATGGTGAGAAAAGTAATAGACAATTTTACTAACAGTGTCTCAGTTAGCATCAACATACAAGTTGCCCAGAAGATCGCCCTAACAATTCTCCTATAGGGCCTAAGATCCATAGATTGGACCCGGCTCTACAGAATACAAAGCAGGAAACATAACACACAAAGAATAACAATAATGTGTTTGCTATACTGGTATCTGACTTGTTAATAATAATAATAATAATAATAATAATAATAATAATAATAATAATAATAAAAAACTATCAAAATACAAAGATCTGGAAATTGAAATAGAAAAAATGTGGAAATTGAAAACAAGAATAATACCAGTGGTAATAGGTGCACTTGGAATTATAAAAATGGAACAAAACAACACATTGAAAGAATCCTGGAAACCCCAGCTTAAGAGACATACAGAAAATTGTCTTATTAAGTACAGCACACACACTAAGGAGAACTTTGTCTATGTAACGCTAGCAACTTCATCGGATAAAAAAAAAAAAAAAAATTAACATGAAATGTATTATAACAACACACCACGACCTGCCTTAGGTCTTTCCGCAGACTTGGTAGGTAGTGTGTCCATAGCAGAAATCGAATGATGATGATGATGACATTAATAATAATAATAATAATAATTGTGATGATTCCAAATTCAGATTCTGTGATAAATATCCAGGAACAATTGATCATCTTGTATCAGGTTGCACAATATTTGCAACTCACTGAATATAAAACCCGGCATGACAGAGTGGGCCAATGTCTGCAACTTTTACGGGAAGGAAACTGAAAGAAACTGGTATAAACTTCATCCAGACCCAGTTACAGTGATAAGAACTGAAACAATTTTATGAGACTTTACAATACACACAGACAGAACAATTAAATCTAATCGCCAACAGAAACTACAAAAAAATATAAAGTGCTTTCTTATTCACATGGAAGTCCTAGCAGACTGTAATGTATTTAAACAGACGGATCTTGATGTGGAAATCTAAAAATATGACCCTACTAGGAAAATCATATATACGAAGAAAAAAGTATTTATCCATTAAATGATAATTCTCCTATGGCGTCTGAGATCCATAGGTTGGACTCGGCACTACAGGATACAAAACAGGAAACATAACACAAAAAATAACAATAATGTGTTTGCTATACTAATATCAGACTTGTTAATAATAATAATAATAATAATAATAATAATAATAATATTGTGATGATTCCAAATTCAGATTCTGTGATAAATATTCAGAAACGATTGATCATCTTGTGTCAGGTTGCACGGTATTGGCACCCAGTGAATATAAAACTCAGCATGGCGGGTGTGGGCCAATGGCTTCACTGGAAAATATGCAACTTTTAAGGGACTTTTAAAAAGAAGGAAACTACAAAAAACTGGTGTGAATGTCACCCAGGATCTGTAACAATTTTATGGGACTTTTAAAAAGAAGGAAACTACAAAAAACTGGTGTGAATGTCACCCAGGATCTGTAACAATTTTATGGGACTTTTAAAAAGAAGGAAACTACAAAAAACTGGTGTGAATGTCACCCAGGATCTGTAACAATTTTATGGGACTTTTAAAAAGAAGGAAACTACAAAAAACTGGTGTGAATGTCACCCAGGATCTGTAACAATTTTATGGGACTTTTAAAAAGAAGGAAACTACAAAAAACTGGTGTGAATGTCACCCAGGATCTGTAACAATTTTATGGGACTTTAAAATATACACAGACAGAACAATCAACACTAATTCCCCAAACATCGTGATCAAGGACCTCAGAATGTGTTTTTCTTCTTGATCATGATGTATCTTTAAAGATCTTAAAAAAAATCCAAAATACAAAGATCTTGAAATGGAAATCTCAAAAATGTGGCACATGAGGACATCAATAATTCCAGTTGTAGTTGGAGCACTCGGATTGATTGGAAAAGGTTCCGATAGACTCACTGAAGGGGCTCGATAAAAAATCAACAAAATTGGTGTTGCGCCATCTTTCCAGGAAATCTAAACAATGACTGGAACAAGTACAGCCTGCGAAGAGCTATGTCCATTTAATTTTTTTGTTATTATCTTTGATTTAATTAAAGATAGAAGCAACAAAAGTCACATCCTTTGTTTCCCAGGGTTAAAGGCTATGACCCGGCATGTATATATATAAAATTGTAGCCTTTGTCTGTCCGGTTATTATTGAACTCCTCCTAGGCCGAGAGGCATAACCCCTCTGAACTATTTTCCGTTTGACATAAATTAAATTCAAATTTGAACAAGGGAATGGGTTCTAGGGTACTTGAAGAAATATATTTCATTTTGATCAAAAGGTTCCCCCATGGGCACAAACCCCCACCGATTTTCTTTCTCTTTGATATAAATTAAATTTAAATTTGAACAAGGGAATGATTCCTATCCAAAATATAAAAGGAGAAAGCCAGAAGATGGAGGTCACATCGGCAAGATCAACATGAGGCAATATGGACGTCA